TGGAACGCTTAGTCATGTCCACCGTTATTAAATAGTGATTTGTAAACTATAATCACTAATAATTGGACATTTTTTGGCAGTCACCATTAAACATTAACACTGACAGCTGCAATTGTAGGTGTGGAACCCTTTCCCAATAGACCACGTGGTTGACCACTTGATAACTCTAAGTTATGTCCTTTGCCGGAAAATTTTGTCAATTATACACGCTTTATGACGTCATTTACTAGATAGAGGGAACCGCCTGTATCCCTGCACTATTAAAGTTCATCAGGTGTCTTCATGATCATGATCGTCAAGATGAACTAGAAATAATGTTTGTTCCAAAAGGTACTTATTAACATTTCTCTAATGACAGAAGTGCTGATTATCAATTATAAGAATTTAATTCGGGAAAGAGAACAATTGCTCATGAAGGTATAAACCAAATAAAACAGCCATCACATATATAATGAAAGAAACATATTTAAATCATGGATGCATGAACATCTCAGATTGATACAACTTCATTATAACATGCCTAAATTCAATATCTTGATGATAAAAAAACCCAATACATTAAAGAGCTTGGTGGTTAAAAACCCAATTTAATGAAAGAACCTTAGTGAGCGCGCTCACATACCCCACGTCCCCACATTGTCATTGGAGAAATAAAATAAGTGCAAGAAAAAAAAATTGTATCAGAAAAAAAAATTGAATCATAATTTCCTGTCAATATGCACATCTACATAGTATGTCCTTATCATCTACACAGTTTCATGAAATTCTGTTGTGTGGTTTGAGAGGAGTTGCGATGACAAAAGGTTGCAGTAGTATATTGGGCAAATAAGCTCAAAGGGGCATAACTCCTGGAAAAAAAAATTGAATCGTAATTTTCTGTTGATATGCACATCTACGTAGTATGTCCTTATTATCTGAAAAGGTTTCATGAAATTCTGTTGTGTGGTTTGAGAGGATTTGCAATGACAAAAGGTTGCAGTAGTATATTGGGCAAATAAGTTCAAAGGGGCGTAACTCCTGGAAAAAAAATTGAATCGTAATTTCCTGTCGATATGCACATCTATGTAGTATGTCCTTATTATCTGAAAAGGTTTCATGAAATTCTGTTGTGTGGTTTGAGAGGAGTTGCGATGACAAAAGGTTGCAGTAGTACATTAAAGTAAATAAGTTCAAAGGAGCGTAACTCCTAGAATTGAATTGAATCGTAATTTCCTGTCAATATGCACAACTACATAGAAGTCCTTATTATCTTAAAAGGTTTCGTGAAATTCTGTTGTGTGGTTTGAGAGGAGTTGCGATGACAAGAAACAGGACTGACGGACTGACGGACGGACAGACAGACGGGTCAAAAACATTATCGTTGCGTGGGGTATAATAATTGCTTGAGTGGTGAATTGTAGTTAATAATGCAATTGAAAAAAACTATTTCACTCAATTACATAAAAAATTCGTAACGGTTCCGCGGAACCCAGCGTCTCGCCTACTTTTGCTGTGTGATAGGGGAATGCACATAATAGATATAGTTAATGAAATGGTTTATGAATCTAATAAATGTTTTAACAACTTCAACTGCAGACTGTATGTAATGTTATCTGGAAGAAAAACTAAGTCCGTTTATAAGTAATATACGGAAAAATTTCAAAATTTCCTTCTAGATACTAGCTTTTGATCATAAACAAGCTTCTGTCCAAGTTTGGTACAAATCCAGGATAGTTTAAGAAAGTATTTAAAATTTTTAAAACTTTAACCACAGAGTGAATTATGTTAACTGGCAGAAGTCCATTTATAAGTAAAATACGGATAATCAGGATTTTTTTTTTTACAAAATGTACTTCTGGATACTATCTTATGATCATAAACAAGCTTCTGTCCAAGTTTGGTAGAAATCCAGGATATTTTAAGACAGTTATTAAAATTTAAAAAAACTTTTAACCACAGAGTGAATATTTGTGGATGCCATCGACAACGGAATGTAGGATCGCTATGTCTCTCTTTTGCGACAAAAGTCGCAGGCTCGACAAAAATAATGGGTAAAAACCCCAATTTGTGAATTCTTATCTGGAGCTGTGTTATATGCTGAATCTGATGAGTTCAGTTTGTGGGGGAACCAGTACTGGTAAGTCAATAATATTTGGTGTGTTGTTGTACATGTACATGTATCAGAATTACAACATCTCATCCATGGGGATTAGTTGGACAACCCCCTTAGTCAAGGTTCTCATGGTATATTGACATTAAATCTTGGGCATAATACAGCTTAAAATTAAAAGGTCAAACCTCAGAAAATTACAATAAGACCCCCATCAACATCATCTTAAAAATTACATGTACATGCATATTAATATTTTAGTGAAAGAAGTTCATCCTCTCGATCTACTTTGTCATATTCCTTTCATATTCCTTTAAATAAATACCACAAGGATTATTATTTTAAAATATACATGTACAACAATAAGAAAACAACTTAAAGCCAAAGATAATTGAAAGACGTATAGAGGTCGATCAATACACAATCTCAAACAATAGACCAAATAAAAAAATAAAAGAACAGCCAAGTGTTGAAATGTATTATTACATGTATTTGCAAGATTTAAAATATTATATCTTTCACAACTTTTTATGCCCCCACCGTAGCGGAGGGGGCATTAAGTTTTACCCTTGTCCGTCTGTACGTACGTCCCAAAATATGTTTTCGTTCTCTAACTTTAGTTTGCCTCAACCAAATGTTATGAAACTTATACACCATGTACACAATGCTTATTACCACAAAACACAGTTCAAGTTTGAATTTTATTGGCATCACTTTTACCGTTCTAGAGTTATGCCCCTTTACAAATGGAAAAATTGCTGAATTTTTTGTTTCTGTCCTCTTACTTTAGTTTGCCTCAACCAAATGTTATGAAACTTATGCAGAATGCCTATTACCACAAAACTCAGATCAAGTACAAATTTGGGCAGCGTCACTTTTACAGTTCTTGAGTTATATCCTTTTATAACGTTTTATGCAAGCGGGGGCATCATCTGTGTCCCATGGACACATTCCCCATTTATTTAGTATTAGGTTCAACCTAACATTTTATAAAACTTTGATTTCAGTGTGGCTATTCTGTAAAAAAAGACATCAATTAGAGAAGCCAATACTATTGGGACATTAATTTGAGAACAACAAAAAAGATATCTATTTCAGGGATATATAATTGGTCATACATGTAGATTTGAAATCTTCTTTTATTATGACGTCAGATTTGCATGTCGACTTCAGGAATGGGGGTTGGTTAGAGACAGCTGGACGTCAATCCGAGTCTTATATATTTATATATATTTATTCAGTTGTGATGGTAAATAGACACTGATAGATAAGTCTGATAACATTTTATAGTTTTAATGTATGTTCATCTGTTTACAATGATAAAGTGGAAGTATGTTTTTATTTCAAAAAGAGGGGCACTCAGCATATATTATTAATTAGTGGATAGACTACTTGCTAGAAACTGAATGTTTTACCACAACTTTGTATGTTTTAACTGGGAAACGTATATACATTTTGTAAAATATAAAAAAAATACATGTCTATTTCTGGACTTCTGATCCATGTAGTTTGGCATATTTGTTAGATCATAGAGGTGGTTGTGATGGGTGAATGTTCATGACAGTCCTCTATAACAAAGTATATCACTGGATTGAGCTTTTTGTCTAGGTGTATTATTCAAGTGCTTTGCTTTGAGCTCCGTTCATTGTTATGCAAATGCATTCTTTGTGAAATAAAGATTTGACAGACAACTCCCATCTGCACATGATCTGCTGTAAGGTAAGATGATTACAAGGAGTCCATTCAATGTAAGTATTTAAGGGGAGATTAAAGCATTTTATTTACACTTTTTTTAAACATCAGTGTTGCCTGCTGATGAGTCCTGAGTGTAAATGATCATTCACTTATACAAACCGGTAATGTTAGCAAGTATAAATTAATTTTTTTAATCCTTTTGTCCATCAGTCCTGTTCATATCTAAAAGACTTTTAATCCATTTGTAGGAGTTATGAGCATCTGTATTGGTATCTGCCATATCTGGTATATTGTCGTTACTTAATACCATAATTATATCTTTTTATCAATAAATCAATTTCCACATTTAAACAAAATCTTTTACTAATGATACTGGGAAGATCCTGAACAAATTTCAGTTTTATATGGACAAACCCAAGTAAGAAATGACCACCTCAAAGGAACATAAATAGAATCATACAAATATTACATGCATGCAGGTTCTGGGACACAATCTCGCATACTAAAATCACATCAAGCAGAAATGCAACTAATGTGGTCCTATTCTAATTTTGAGTTTTTGCTGCTATCCAAAATCAAAATTGTGGAACATATTTAATCTTTTGGCAATCCTTGCAGTCTTCTGCTTCTTTACGTAAATCTCTCCAGCGTTGGAGCACACTCAGCTAGCTGTGTTCCCTTAACGGATCATTTTTTTAAATGTAAATGTATTCACATAGAAGTTATTTCAAAATTTTTTTAAATGTTGAAAGGAAATCCTCCAATGGCACATGCACAAAATTTATTTACAGGAATGTACATATTAAATACACAAAGCACTCATAGTATGTTGGCCAATATGTAGATTTGATATTAAAAGCAATGTCTAGCTAAATAAAATCTATGAACGGTCGGTACTGATTTAAATTAGTGTCTCCTCCATGACAAGTCTTGAACATTAAAACTCAATATTAAATAAAAGACACTGCTATTTTCAGTGTTTGGTACAGGTTGGCTGTCACTGTGCACAACAGTTCAACATAGAAGCCTATGGGGAAAAACCAGAGAACTCTTTTTGTCAGAAAACACTGTCAAACATCCAAACATACTATCCACAATGATCTGTGTCCACACTTGTAAATGTGCAAAATAAGAAAAATGTGTGTTGCCTTATGTACTTTTTCACATTTTTCTAGATAATGTACAGAAATGGTTGGCTTAAATATACTTGCATTATTTCTTTCATGACAAGCCTCAGACTTCTGGGGGTGAAGATCAATCTAATAATCTTCCTTGGAGCTGCTATCCTTGCTGCTTGGTTGCTTTCGCGGCAGTCCTCAGACTTGGTTGAAGATCTAAGTAAACATCTTCCATGGAGCTGCTATCTTTGATGCTTTATTTGGTTTTTCAATCTTCACTCTGCACATAGATGGAAATATAAATATGTAATTATCCAGATTGTCAATGTTAAGAGACTATTTGCTCTTATCATTAATTCAAGAATTAATGTGAAGCATGTTTTATGTCAAATCCTAAATTATTAAAATATAAACTTTTTTCAAAATATATATAAAGAAGAACTGTTACACCACTGTCCCAGGTTAGGGGGAGGGTTGAGCGCTCACAAACATGTTGAACCCCGCCACATTCTTTATTTTGTTGTCCCAAGTCAGGAGCCTGTAGTTCAGTGGTTGTCTTTGGTTCATGTTTGTCATATATGTTTTTTTGGAAATTGTTTTGTTATAAATTAGGCCGTTAGTTTCAATTGAATTGTTTCATATTTTTCATGTCAGGGCCTTTTAAAGACGACCATACGGTATGGGTTTTTCTTATTTTTGAAGGTAGTACGGTTGCCTATAATTGCCTACATCCACTTCATTTGAACTTTGGTGGATAGTTGTCTCATTGGCAATCATACCACATCTCCTTTTTTTTATAATAATGGCAGCCAATTACAATACATTCTTATTAAAATATATTTCATTAAAGTATAAATTTGAATAAGAAATTTTGGTACAATTTGTAGTGAAATTTCAAGCTGTTTTTCTAGGGAAAAACTGATTTTTATTCCCAAACAAATATTAACATAGTTTTAAAGTACAAATGAAATGACCAAATACCTACATGCTACATATCTGTCATCTACAATGAAACCATCCATCTTCATGGTCTATGACTAATATCTTCTGGCCTGCTACTGTAACAAAAAGAAACTGCTACAAAAACAAAAATCATAGATTAGTTTATACTTAAATGAAATATAGTTTTAATTTAAATAAAATATACTTACAAAAAGAAACTGCTACAAAAACAAAAATCATAGATTAGTTTATACTTAAATGAAATATAGTTTTAATTTAAATAAAATATACTTATCTCAATGTTGCTTATCCTGCTGTGCTTCAATGGAGTCTTTTTCAGGGTCTGTGATGTTAACATCTTCTTCGTAACATCTGAAACAAAAAAAAATTATTCATACACAGCTGCTGGTCATCTCAAATAAGTTATTAGTATATATTCAACAGTGAGCCAAAAAAAAAAAAAGTTCAAAAATATCAAACCAAATATATAACTTTTAATAAAGTTTACTTACTCAAAAAATGAAACTTTTTTCAAAATATATATAAAGAAGAACTGTTACACCACAGCCTCAGGTTAGGGGAGGATTGAGCGCTCACAAAAATGTTTAACCCCGCCACATTCTTAATTTTGTTGTTCGAAGTCAGGAGCCTGTAGTTTAGTGGTTGTCTTTGGTTCATGTCTGTCATATTTGTTTTTCCTAAATTGTTTTGTAATAAATTAGGCCGTTAGTTTTTCTCAATTGAATTGTTTCATATTTTTTATGTCGGGGCCTTTTAAAACCAACCATATTGTATGGGTTTTTCTCATTGTTGAAGGCCGTACAGTTGCCTATAATTGCTTACATCCACTTCATTTAAACTTTGGTGGATAGTTGTCTCATTGGCAATCATACCACATCTCCTTTTTTTTTTATATTAATGGCAGCCAATTACAATACATTCTTATTAAAATATATTTCATTAAAGTATAAATTTGAATAAGAAATTTTGGTACAATTTGTAGTGAAATTTCAAGCTGTTTTTCTAGGGAAAAACTGATTTTTATTCCCAAACAAATATTAACATAGTTTTAAAGTACAAATGAAATGACCAAATACCTACATGCTACATATCTGTCATCTACAATGAAACCATCCATCTTCATGGTCTATGACTAATATCTTCTGGCCTGCTACTGTAACAAAAACAAACAGCTACAAAAAAAAAATCATAGATTAGTTTATACTTAAATGAAATATAGTTTTAATGTAAATAAAATATACTTATCTCAATGTTGCTTATCCTGCTGTGCTTCAATGGAGTCTTTTTCAGGGTCTGTGATGTAAACATCTTCTTCGTAACATCTGAAACAAAAAAAATTATTCATAGACAGCTGCTGGTCATCTCAAATAAGTTATACATATATTCAACAGTGGGCCAAAAAAAAAAGTTCAAAAATATCAAACCAAGTATATAGCTTTTAATAAAGTTTACTTACTCAAAAAATGAAATTTTTCTCAAAATATATATAAAGAAGAACTGTTACACCACAGCCTTAGGTTAGGGGGAGGGTTGAACGCTCACAAACATGTTTAACCCCGCCACATTCTTTATTTGGTTGTCCCAAGTCAGGAGCCTGTAGTTTAGTGGTTGTCTTTGGTTCATGTCTGTCATATTTGTTTTTCGTAAATTGTTTTGTTATAAATTAGGCCGTTAATTTTCTCAATTGAATTGTTTCATATTTTTTGTGTCGGGGCCTTTTAAAACCAACCATATGGTATGGGTTTTTCTCATTGTAATCATACCATATCTTATGTATAATGGACTCTCATCCAAGTATAACTTGGAATATGAAGGATGAGAGTCATTCTAGTAATGGAGCCTGAGGCTCAAGAGGATGTAACTATAGCATTCATTTCCCGATGTACAACGAGGCATCTCATTTAAAAGAGGTCAAAATCCTTGACCTATGGGTATGACGTAGCTATACCTAGCTATAAATACTGCGGCTATTACCTGTGCCTATCATGATTCAAAGTTTGTTTGTGCAACCAAAACAATTGGGATGGGCAAACAGTACCCTCCAAACTGGGTGGGTAAATTGTTACATCCTCTTGAGCCTCAGGCTCCATTACTAGAATGACTCTCATCCTTCATATTCCAAGTTATACTTGGATGAGAGTCCATTCTACTAATTACGCTCCTCGGCTCTTCGAGGATGTAACTATAGCATATTCAAAGTGTTGGCACAAACAAGTAGTTCCCTGAACAACTAACAGAGAGCAAATCAGAATTTGCTGAAACAGTCCAGAATATACTGGAGACTCAGATAGTAGTCAATCTAACTAATCTTTCTGACTTAATAATGAATATAATCTAAATATTAGGTTAAAGTACCAAATTTGTGTATCAATACCAATAGGTATAACAAATAAATAGTTTCAAAAACATTCAATTTTGAAAATAAATATACAACAAAATATCTATTTCTCTCAATGTATTTTGTAGTCTGAATTTCACTATTTTCAAGAATAATAACTTATTCTAGACATTCAAGACAAATTCTCTTAACTATATAAAGAGCATAACACTCATACCACATCTTCCTTTATCTATATAACAAGTTTTGAATTTTCAAAAAACATTTGCCTGATACTTGCTTACAAACCATTAATTGTATATCTAAATATCTACTGACATATTATTCTGCAACTCTTTTCTTAAATATTTGAAAGTGTTTTAATTCTTTAGCCCTTCTTTTTGTACACTTCTAACATGACACTCTCTGTAGTTCAGAGGTGTATGAAAAAACAAGAATTTGAAGACAAATTCAGGAGACAGTAGTTTAAGTAACGATGTAAACACTGCCAGATACAGATTTTCATTAGCCTTCTGTGGTTTCAATATCATGTATATCTGATTTATCTAATATTAATCCATGGTAAAATATCCAGTATATTTACAAGCTTAAAACTGTCACTGCAAGTTCTACAAGTATTATCTCTTTGCATGACAGTTGCAAATTCAGTCTGTCTTTAATATTGTAAGAACAGAAAAATTGATTCAAAAGCTCAAGTAAGCAACGAAAGCTTCAAATAGTGTTAATATTCATAACTTTAACATAACTTAGCAATCAAAAACTCCTCTCTGAGTCATATTAAAAAATCATAAATAGGTGATTATTGTCACACTAAGATCACCTGTTAATTAAAGGTTGACTTATTTAAAACTACATGTGGATGTCAAAGATGATCAGCCTCTACTGTAGATCTTATTCAGGACACTTAATAAAGTGACTATATTTACAAATTTCTTCTTATTATTATCTGGAATTTACCAACTACAATATAGTATTTGATGTCTGGTTCAGTAAATTTACATTCCATGTTTGTTTATGACAATGAGTATGTAGTATATATATATCAAACAGTGTTGATAATACTGGGTAAATTGAATCTTAAAGTCCAACACTTCATACAGACTAGGTCTAGTAGACATATACATACTGCATCTAATGTAACATTCTGAAGTAAATCATCTCAAAAGTATCATCGTTATGATAGTTCATTAAGTATAAACAAATTATACAAAAAACAGCGTAGCTATTTAATATCTTATGTTATAAGAATTAATATAAATCAATATATCCAGAATTAAAACTTGATCCAGCATGTTTTAAAATCCTAAGATTTAAGTAATACTGTTCTGTGAACACTCATCTGATAATCTGATAATTTTCTTAAAAAAGAACTGGAGAAGGGTTACAAAGTTTATACATTTACTTCATTGTAAACTGTCACATTTGAAAATGACCTTCACCCATCCTGATATCCATACACATGTTGGATATTGAAGGAATATAACTATTACTGTATTTTAACCTATATCAGTCAAGACTTGAACTGCTCCTGTACAATATTCTTATGATACATCTTACATGTACTATTTTTCTATATATATACATCTAATGTTATATATGGCTATGTTATATTTAGAGCAATATAACTACATGTAATTAAGAAGAGTAATTTCTAATTGAACTGAAAAGAAAATCCAGTGTACATGTACAGATTTAGGTGGTAAGCAAAATATAAGTTTGCAATTTGTTTTGCAAATTCTAATGCTTTATAGAATACTTTTCAAAGTTGCATTTCTCGATTGAGCATAAAAATATCTATATATATATTTCATACTATGAATATGTCAATTCTTATTAACTGATGATACAAAAGCATCAATATAGCAATTCTATTTCAAGTTCATGGAGTCTAGAAAGATCACCATTTTCTATTTTAATTTCCATCATGGATTTCAATAATACAGATGCATAGATGCAATATAATCATTTGATTATCATTATAGAAACTTTATAAATTCTACATAAATTCATGTAATACTACTTTCTTCAGTATTTGCTATCTGACATGAAAAATGTGTAGGGGATTAGTCCCCTAAACACCTGTATACAATTGTTTACAGAGATATGACTTAGCCTATAACTAGGCAACACTTAGTCACATAAAGATTAGTGATGCACATATCCAATGTACATTATAATATTCCTTTTTTAAAAGGAAAATAAGTCAGATATTTCATGTCCAACATCAAAGCATAATTTGCATGTTGAGAGAAAAATCTTCCTGTTTTCATTTGTATAGTTCTTTAACATTCATTGCTGCTACCATTTGCAAATGAATATATTATAGCTTACCATATATCTAGTATCATTACTGAGATTGTAAAGCACAATTTGTCTTATCAAAATAAGCACATTTATACAATATTTTCTGCAAGTCAAAATAGGGACTTTTGAAAAGAATCTCCCTTTCTTGGCAGAATATAAATAATTTTTATAGTTGTATCTCAAACTATATTTTACAGTAAAAAGTTGTTTACTATTACTGATACCTTGTAGTCAGCAAGATCAGGATCTACAAATGTGTTCTGATTAATGAGAACAATAACTTTGAACTATTTCTTCAGAAAAGAGTAACTGTTTATCTATTCTACATGTTCTAAGGCTTTGTTTGTTATATTCATAATTAATGTTATAACAATGCCAAGATATAAGACTAAAAACTCTATTGTCTTATTTCAACTATATAAAGACATGGTAATAAATGTACATGAATGTATCATTTTACAAGTGTCAAATAATTGTATTCATAATCTGAAATCTACATTGATAAATTTCAAGGCAAAGATAAAACCATCCAATGGAAATTATTTTTATTTCCCTCCACACTATGCATATATATGAAGTTTTTAACGACCTTGACTGACTATACAGCCCTTGCATGGTTGGTAACACTATGCATGTTATGTCAACATCATAAAAAGTATCCATGAAAAAAGGAATTTACATCTGACTAATGCATGTCAGTCATATAAATTTTTCAGAAGGTCCTTTGATCTTTCTTTTTTAATATTTGATATCAACTAGTATTTTTTGATATGTTGGCAACATATACTTCTTACAATTTACAACATTATTATCATATTGTACTTTTTCTTTTTCAAAGGCAAAGAACTAAAGTTAACAATGGGCAATGCTCCTCTGCTTTATTTTTTGCCAAGATAAAGATATAAAATCTTGCAGGATATTGTTTGTTTTATCTTAAACATAGTAAAGACATGAGATTAACTTCATGTACAGAATTATGCAACAAAAGTTTGCATTTTAAAACTGCATTGTTGCAGATGTCTTCAAACAATAATAACTGTTTTACTATTATTTTCTACAGTATATTTCTACTTAATCAATTGTTTTTTAGTGGCATGTTAAATGCTCTACAAGGAACTTGCTAATGTTCCCCCTTCGACCTATTTCTGGTCAAGTTTGCCGTGATATTCCACTGGCCTCTCAATATTCAGATATTAAATATCAATCACATAATATTATTTCTGTAAATGTTTCAACTGTAACACAGTTTACTTCTCACCCAGAGCTTATTTTGAAGCCTTAAATGGCTTTGTATATTACAGATACACATATTCTTGATAGTTTCAACAATATTGTAAGTTCATTCGAAACTGTTGTCACATTTATGACACACCAAGGACTTATACAAGTCTCTAGGCTCATTAATTGCTTTAGACAAATAAGCTTTAAAAAATTAGCTATTTGATCATTATTTGATATAACATATCTTTAGCAAAGGTTTTCAGATACCTTAGATTGGAAGTGGCACACAATGCCTTCCGTATTATCACTAACTTTGTCTATTTATAGTAACACACATACAGGTGTATATCGACAAGTAGTCTAGCATATTCCAATGCACTACATTACAGTTTCTTATATTGGAATAAGAAATGTATTTTAATCACAACATTTTGTGATAATAAAATCTCAAATATATTTACTATATTTTCTATAAATTGTACGTCACTACGTGGGTACATTATAGCAAGAATATACGAGTACACCTTCGTACATTTTGCACTTACCTTGAAAATCAAGAAAGATATTCTACTCATATACTTCCGTATAGAGATTCATTCGTGTTAAATAACTACGATAATGTATCAATTTATTTAGACGAAAAAATGTCAAAATTATTAAAAAGAGAACACGTTCGGTCCACCATTGATTACGTGATAAGCACCTGTGTGTTACACACCACAGTACACGTGTATTTTTAGAACAAGGTTTAGAAAATAGAACAACGATAAAATACGTTGTATTAATGAACTTCAATATAAAGTTCTCATGATAACTAATGCTAATAAAACATTTTTTACTGGAACAACGTTCTCAGTTTTACAAAATCTTAAAATTCTGGACGTCGTCTCAGATTAAAACGAGTTAGACACCTTGCTGCTCGAAAAATAATATGATTGGCACAGGTAATAGCCGCAGTATTTATAGCTAGGTATAGCTACGTCATACCCATAGGTCAAGGATTTTGACCTCTTTTAAATGAGATGCCTCGTTGTACATCGGGAAATGAATGCTATAGTTACATCCTCGAAGAGCCGAGGAGCGTAATTAGTAGAATAATGGCAGCCAATTACAATACATTATTATTAAAATATATTTCATTAAAGTATAAATTTGAATAAGAAATTTTGGTACAATTTGAAGTGAAATTTCAAGCTGTTTTTCTATGGAAAAACTGATTTTTATTACCAAACAAATATTAACATAGTTTTAAAGTACAAATGAAATGACCAAATACCTACATGCTACATATCTGTCATCTACAATGAAACCATCCATCTTCATGGTCTATGACTAATATCTTCTGGCCTGCTACTGTAACAAAAAGAAACTGCTACAAAAACAAAAATCATAGATTAGTTTATACTTAAATGAAATATAGTTTTAATGTAAATAAAATATACTTATCTCAATGTTGCTTATCCTGCTGTGCTTCAATGGAGTCTTTTTCAGGGTCTGTGATGTAAACATCTTCTTCGTAACATCTGAAACAAAAAAAATTATTCATAGACAGCTGCTGGTCATCTCAAATAAGTTATACATATATTCAACAGTGAGCCAAAAAAAACGTTCAAAAATATCAAACCAAATATATAACTTTTAATAAAGTTTACTTACTCAAAAAATGAAATTTTTCTCAAAATATATATAATGAAGAACTGTTACACCACAGCATCAGGTTAGGGGGAGGGTTGAGCGCTCACAAACATGTTTAATCCGCCACATTCTTTATTTTGTTGTCCCAAGTCAGGAGCCTGTAGTTTAGTGGTTGTCTTTGGTTCATGTCTGTCATATTTGTTCTTCGTAAATTGTTTTGTTATAAATTAGGCCGTTAGTTTTTCTCAATTGAATTGTTTCATATTTTTTATGTCGGGGCCTTTTAAAACCCACCATATGGTATAGGTTTTTCTCATTGTTGAAGGCCGTACGGTTGCCTATAATTTCTTACATCCACTTCATTTGAACTTTGGTGGATAGTTGTCTCATTAGCAATCATACCACATCTCCTCCTTTTTTTATATTAATGGCAGCCAATTACAATACATTCTTATTAAAATATATTTCATTAAAGTATAAATTTGAATAAGAAATTTTGGTACAATTTGTAGTGAAATTTCAAGCTGTTTTTCTAGGGAAAAACTGATTTTTATTACCAAACAAATATTAACATAGTTTTAAAGTACAAAGAAATGACCAAATACCTACATGCTACATATCTGTCATCTACAATGAAACCATCCATCTTCATGGTCTATGACTAATATCTTCTGGCCTGCTACTGTAACAAAAAGAAACTGCTACAAAAACAAAAATCATAGATTAGTTTATACTTAAATGAAATATAGTTTTAATGTAAATAAAATATACTTATCTCAATGTTGCTTATCCTGCTGTGCTTCAATGGAGTCTTTTTCAGGGTCTGTGATGTAAACATCTTCTTCGTAACATCTGAAACAAAAAAAATTATTCATAGACAGCTGCTGGTCATCTCAAATAAGTTATACATATATTCAACAGTGGGCCAAAAAAAAAAGTTCAAAAATATCAAACCAAGTATACAACTTTTAATAAAGTTTACTTACTCAAAAAATGAAATTTTTCTCAAAATATATATAAAGAAGAACTGTTACACCACAGCCTCAGGTTAGGGGGAGGGTTGAGCGCTCACAAACATGTTTAGCCCCGCCACATTCTTTATTTGGTTGTCCCAAGTCAGGAGCCTGTAGTTTAGTGGTTGTCTTTGGTTCATGTCTGTCATATTTGTTTTTAGTCAATTGTTTAGTTATAAATTAGGCCATTAGTTTTTCTCAATTGAATTGTTTCATATTTTTTATGTCGGGGCCTTTTAAAACCAACCATATGGTATGGGTTTTTCTCATTGTTGAAGGCCGTACAGTTGCCTATAATTGCTTACATCCACTTCATTTAAACTTTGGTGGATAGTTGTCTCATTGGCAATCATACCACATCTCCTTTTTTTTTTATATTAATGGCAGCCAATTACAATACATTCTTATTAAAATATATTTCATTAAAGTATAAATTTGAATAAGAAATTTTGGTACAATTTGTAGTGAAATTTCAAGCTGTTTTTCTAGGGAAAAACTGATTTTTATTACCAAACAAATATTAACATAGTTTTAAAGTACAAATAAAATGACCAAATACCTACATGCTACATATCTGTCATCTACCATGAAACCATCCATCTTCATGGTCTATGACTAATATCTTCTGGCCTGCTACTATAACAAAAAGAAACTGCTACAAAACAAAAATCATAGATAAGTTTATACTTAAATGAAATATAGTTTTAATTTAAATAAAATATACTTATCTCAATGTTGCTTATCCTGCTGTGCTTCAATGGAGTCTTTTTCTGGGTCTGTGATGTAAACATCTTCTTCGTAACATCTGAAACAAAAAAAATTATTCATAGACAGCTGCTGGTCATCTCAAATAAGTTATACATATATTCAACAGTGAGCCAAAAAAAACGTTCAAAAATATCAAACCAAATATATAACTTTTAATAAAGTTTACTTACTCAAAAAATGAAATTTTTCTCAAAATATATATAATGAAGAACTGTTACACCACAGCCTCAGGTTAGGGGGAGGGTTGAGCGCTCACAAACATGTTTAATCCGCCACATTCTTTATTTTGTTGTCCCAAGTCAGGAGCCTGTAGTTTAGTGGTTGTCTTTGGTTCATGTCTGTCATATTTGTTTTTCGTAAATTGTTTTGTTATAAATTAGGCCGTTAGTTTTTCTCAATTGAATTGTTTCACATTTTTTATGTCGGGGCCTTTTAAAACCCACCATATGGTATAGGTTTTTCTCATTGTTGAAGGCCGTACGGTTGCCTATAATTGCTTACATCCACTTCATTTGAACTTTGGTGGATAGTTGTCTCATTAGCAATCATACCACATCTCCTCCTTTTTTTATATTAATGGCAGCCAATTACAATACATTCTTATTAAAATATATTTCATTAAAGTATAAATTTGAATAAGAAATTTTGGTACAATTTGTAGTGAAATTTCAAGCTGTTTTTCTAGGGAAAAACTGATTTTTATTACCAAACAAATATTAACATAGTTTTAAAGTACAAATGAAATGACCAAATACCTACATGCTACATATCTGTCATCTACAATGAAACCATCCATCTTCATGGTCTATGACTAATATCTTCTGGCCTGCTACTGTAACAAAAAGAAACTGCTACAAAAACAAAAATCATAGATTAGTTTATACTTAAATGAAATATAGTTTTAATGTAAATAAAATATACTTATCTCAATGTTGCTTATCCTGCTGTGCTTCAATGGAGTCTTTTTCAGGGTCTGTGATGTAAACATCTTCTTCGTAACATCTGAAACAAAAAAAATTATTCATAGACAGCTGCTGGTCATCTCAAATAAGTTATACATATATTCAACAGTGGGCTAAAAAAAAAAGTTCAAAAATATCAAACCAAGTATACAACTTTTAATAAAGTTTACTTGCTCAAAAAATGAAATTTTTCTCAAAATATATATAAAGAAGAACTGTTACACCACAGCCTCAGGTTAGGGGAGGGTTGAGCGCTCACAAACATGTTTAGCCCCGCCACATTCTTTATTTGGTTGTCCCAAGTCAGGAGCCTGTAGTTTAGTGGTTGTCTTTGGTTCATATCTGTCATATTTGTTTTTAGTCAATTGTTTAGTTATAAATTAGGCCGTTAGTTTTTCTCAATTGAATTGTTTCATATTTTTTATGTCGGGGCCTTTTAAAACCAACCATATGGTATGGGTTTTTCTCATTGTTGAAGGCCGTACAGTTGCCTATAATTGCTTACATCCACTTCATTTAAACTTTGGTGGATAGTTGTCTCATTGGCAATCATACCACATCTCCTTTTTTTTTTATATTAATGGCAGCCAATTACAATACATTCTTATTAAAATATATTTCATTAAAGTATAAATTTGAATAAGAAATTTTGGTACAATTTGTAGTGAAATTTCAAGCTGTTTTTCTAGGGAAAAACTGATTTTTATTACCAAACAAATATTAACATAGTTTTAAAGTACAAATAAAATGACCAAATACCTACATGCTACATATCTGTCATCTACAATGAAACCATCAATCTTCATGGTCTATGACTAATATCTTCTGGCCTGCTACTGTAACAAAAAGAAACTGCTACAAAACAAAAATCATAGATAAGTTTATACTTAAATGAAATATAGTTTTAATTTAAATAAAATATACTTATCTCAATGTTGCTTATCCTGCTGTGCTTCAATGGAGTCTTTTTCAGGGTCTGTGATGTAAACATCTTCTTCGTAACATCTGAAACAAAAAAAATTATTCATAGACAGCTGCTGGTCATCTCAAATAAGTTATACATATATTCAACAGTGAGCCAAAAAAAACGTTCAAAAATATCAAACCAAATATATAACTTTTAATAAAGTTTACTTACTCAAAAAATGAAATTTTTCTCAAAATATATATAATGAAGAACTGTTACACCACAGCCTCAGGTTAGGGGGAGGGTTGAGCGCTCACAAACATGTTTAATCCGCCACATTCTTTATTTTGTTGTCCCAAGTCAGGAGCCTGTAGTTTAGTGGTTGTCTTTGGTTCATGTCTGTCATATTTGTTTTTCGTAAATTGTTTTGTTATAAATTAGGCCGTTAGTTTTTCTCAATTGAATTGTTTCATATTTTTTATGTCGGGGCCTTTTAAAACCCACCATATGGTATAGGTTTTTCTCATTGTTGAAGGCCGTACGGTTGCCTATAATTGCTTACATCCACTTCATTTGAACTTTGGTGGATAGTTGTCTCATTAGCAATCATACCACATCTCCTCCTTTTTTTTATATTAATGGCAGCCAATTACAATACATTCTTATTAAAATATATTTCATTAAAGTATAAATTTGAATAAGAAATTTTGGTACAATTTGTAGTGAAATTTCAAGCTGTTTTTCTAGGGAAAAACTGATTTTTATTACCAAACAAATATTAACATAGTTTTAAAGTACAAATGAAATGACCAAATACCTACATGCTACATATCTGTCATCTACAATGAAACCATCCATCTTCATGGTCTATGACTAATATCTTCTGGCCTGCTACTGTAACAAAAAGAAACTGCTACAAAAACAAAAATCATAGATTAGTTTATACTTAAATGAAATATAGTTTTAATGTAAATAAAATATACTTATCTCAATGTTGCTTATCCTGCTGTGCTTCAATGGAGTCTTTTTCAGGGTCTGTGATGTAAACATCTTCTTCGTAACATCTGAAACAAAAAAAATTATTCATAGACAGCTGCTGGTCATCTCAAATAAGTTATACATATATTCAACAGTGGGCCAAAAAAAAAAGTTCAAAAATATCAAACCAAGTATACAACTTTTAATAAAGTTTACTTGCTCAAAAAATGAAATTTTTCTCAAAATATATATAAAGAAGAACTGTTACACCACAGCCTCAGGTTAGGGGAGGGTTGAGCGCTCACAAACATGTTTAGCCCCGCCACATTCTTTATTTGGTTGTCCCAAGTCAGGAGCCTGTAGTTTAGTGGTTGTCTTTGGTTCATATCTGTCATATTTGTTTTTAGTCAATTGTTTAGTTATAAATTAGGCCGTTAGTTTTTCTCAATTGAATTGTTTCATATTTTTTATGTCGGGGCCTTTTAAAACCAACCATATGGTATGGGTTTTTCTCATTGTTGAAGGCCGTACAGTTGCCTATAATTGCTTACATCCACTTCATTTAAACTTTGGTGGATAGTTGTCTCATTGACAATCATACCACATCTCCTTTTTTTTTTTTATTAATGGCAGCCAATTACAATACATTCTTATTAAAATATATTTCATTAAAGTATAAATTTGAATAAGAAATTTTGGTACAATTTGTAGTGAAATTTCAAGCTGTTTTTCTAGGGAAAAACTGATTTTTATTACCAAACAAATATTAACATAGTTTTAAAGTACAAATGAAATGACCAAATACCTACATGCTACATATCTGTCATCTACAATGAAACCATCCATCTTCATGGTCTATGACTAATATCTTCTGGCCTGCTACTGTAACAAAAAGAAACTGCTACAAAAACAAAAATCATAGATAAGTTTATACTTAAATGAAATATAGTTTTAATTTAAATAAAATATACTTATCTCAATGTTGCTTATCCTGCTGTGCTTCAATGGAGTCTTTTTCAGGGTCTGTGATGTAAACATCTTCTTCGTAACATCTGAAACAAAAAAAATTATTCATAGACAGCTGCTGGTCATCTCAAATAAGTTATACATATATTCAACAGTGAGCCAAAAAAAACGTTCAAAAATATCAAACCAAATATATAACTTTTAATAAAGTTTACTTACTCAAAAAATGAAATTTTTCTCAAAATATATATAATGAAGAACTGTTACACCACAGCCTCAGGTTAGGGGGAGGGTTGAGCGCTCACAAACATGTTTAATCCGCCACATTCTTTATTTTGTTGTCCCAAGTCAGGAGCCTGTAGTTTAGTGGTTGTCTTTGGTTCATGTCTGTCATATTTGTTTTTCCTAAATTGTTTTGTTATAAATTAGGCCGTTAGTTTTTCTCAATTGAATTGTTTCATATTTTTTATGTCGGGGCCTTTTAAAACCCACCATATGGTATAGGTTTTTCTCATTGTTGAAGGCCGTACGGTTGCCTATAATTGCTTACATCCACTTCATTTGAACTTTGGTGGATAGTTGTCTCATTAGCAATCATACCACATCTCCTCCTTTTTTTATATTAATGGCAGCCAATTACAATACATTCTTATTAAAATATATTTCATTAAAGTATAAATTTGAATAAGAAATTTTGGTACAATTTGTAGTGAAATTTCAAGCTGTTTTTCTAGGGAAAAACTGATTTTTATTCCCAAACAAATATTAACATAGTTTTAAAGTACAAATGAAATGACCAAATACCTACATGCTACATATCTGTCATCTACAATGAAACCATCCATCTTCATGGTCTATGACTAATATCTTCTGGCCTGCTACTGTAACAAAAACAAACAGCTACAAAAAAAAAATCATAGATTAGTTTATACTTAAATGAAATATAGTTTTAATGTAAATAAAATATACTTATCTCAATGTTGCTTATCCTGCTGTGCTTCAATGGAGTCTTTTTCAGGGTCTGTGATGTAAACATCTTCTTCGTAACATCTGAAACAAAAAAAATTATTCATAGACAGCTGCTGGTCATCTCAAATAAGTTATACATATATTCAACAGTGAGCCAAAAAAAACGTTCAAAAATATCAAACCAAATATATAACTTTTAATAAAGTTTACTTACTCAAAAAATGAAATTTTTCTCAAAATATATATAATGAAGAACTGTTACACCACAGCCTCAGGTTAGGGGGAGGGTTGAGCGCTCACAAACATGTTTAATCCGCCACATTCTTTATTTTGTTGTCCCAAGTCAGGAGCCTGTACTTTAGTGGTTGTCTTTGGTTCATGTCTGTCATATTTGTTTTTCGTAAATTGTTTTGTTATAAATTAGGCCGTTAGTTTTTCTCAATTGAATTGTTTCATATTTTTTATGTCGGGGCCTTTTAAAACCCACCATATGGTATAGGTTTTTCTCATTGTTGAAGGCCGTACGGTTGCCTATAATTGCTTACATCCACTTCATTTGAACTTTGGTGGATAGTTGTCTCATTAGCAATCATACCACATCTCCTCCTTTTTTTATATTAATGGCAGCCAATTACAATACATTCTTATTAAAATATATTTCATTAAAGTATAAATTTGAATAAGAAATTTTGGTACAATTTGTAGTGAAATTTCAAGCTGTTTTTCTAGGGAAAAACTGATTTTTATTACCAAACAAATATTAACATAGTTTTAAAGTACAAATGAAATGACCAAATACCTACATGCTACATATCTGTCATCTACAATGAAACCATCCATCTTCATGGTCTATGACTAATATCTTCTGGCCTGCTACTGTAACAAAAAGAAACTGCTACAAAAACAAAAATCATAGATTAGTTTATACTTAAATGAAATATAGTTTTAATGTAAATAAAATATACTTATCTCAATGTTGCTTATCCTGCTGTGCTTCAATGGAGTCTTTTTCAGGGTCTGTGATGTAAACATCTTCTTCATAACATCTGAAACAAAAAAAATTATTCATAGACAGCTGCTGGTCATCTCAAATAAGTTATACATATATTCAACAGTGAGCCAAAAAAAACGTTCAAAAATATCAAACCAAATATATAACTTTTAATAAAGTTTACTTACTCAAAAAATGAAATTTTTCTCAAAATATATATAATGAAGAACTGTTACACCACAGCCCCAGGTTAGGGGGAGGGTTGAGCTCTCACAAACATGTTTAACCCCGCCACATTTTTTATTTTGTTGTCCCAAGTCAGGAGCCTGTAGTTTAGTGGTTGTCTTTGGTTCATGTCTGTCATATTTGTTTTTTGTAAATTGTTTTGTTATAAATTAGGCCGTTAGTTTTTCTCAATTGAATTCATATTTTGTATGTCGGGGCCTTTTAAAACCAACCATATGGTATGGGTTTTTCTCATTGTAATCATACCACATCTCCTTTTTTTTATAATAATGGCAGCCAATTACAATACATTCTTATTAAAATATATTTTATTAAAGTATAAATTTGAATAAGAAATTTTGGTACAATTTGTAGTGAAATTTCAAGCTGTTTTTCTAGGGAAAAACTGATTTTTATTCCCAAACAAATATTAACATAGTTTTAAAGTACAAATGAAATGACCAAATACCTACATGCTACATATCTGTCATCTACAATGAAACAATCCATCTTCATGGTCTATGACTAATATCTTCTGGCCTGCTACTGTAACAAAAAGAAACTGCTACAAAAACAAAAATCATAGATTAGTTTATATTTAAATGAAATATAGTTTTAATTTAAATAAAATATACTTATCTCAATGTTGCTTATCCTGCTGTGCTTCAATGGAGTCTTTTTCAGGGTCTGTGATGTAAACATCTTCTTCGTAACATCTGAAACAAAAAAAATTATTCATAGACAGCTGCTGGTCATCTCAAATAAGTTATACATATATTCAACAGTGAGCCAAAAAAAAAAAAGTTCAAAAATATCAAACCAAATATATAACTTATAATAAAGTTTACTTACTCAAAAAATGAAATTTTTCTCAAAATATATATAATGAAGAACTGTTACACTACAGCCCCAGGTTAGGGGGAGGGTTGAGCGCTCACAAACATGTTTAACCCCGCCACATTCTTTATTTTGTTGTCCCAAGTCAGGAGCCTGTAGTTTAGTGGTTGTCTTTGGTTCATGTCTGTCATATTTGTTTTTTCGTAAATTGTTTTGTTATAAATTAGGCCGTTAGTTTTTCTCAATTGAATTGTTTCATGTCGGGGCCTTTTAAAACCCACCATATGGTATAGGTTTTTCTCATTGTTGAAGGCCGTACGGTTGCCTATAATTGCTTACATCCACTTCATTTGAACTTTGGTGGATAGTTCTCATTAGCAATCATACCACATCTTCTTTTTTTATATTAATGGCAGCCAATTACAATACATTCTTATTAAAATATATTTCATTAAAGTATAAATTTGAATAAGAAATTTTGGTACAATTTGTAATGAAATTTCAAGCTGTTTTTTTAGGGAAAAACTGATTTTTATTACCAAACAAATATTAACATAGTTTTAAAGTACAAATGAAATGACCAAATACCTACATGCTACATATCTGTCATCTACAATGAAACCATCCATCTTCATGGTCTATGACTAATATCTTCTGGCCTGCTACTGTAACAAAAACAAACTGCTACAAAAACAAAAATCATAGATTAGTTTATTTTTAAATGAAATATAGTTTTAATTTAAATGAATTATACATATCATTATGTTCCTTATCCTGGAGTGCTTCAGTGGGGCCTTTTTCAGGGTCTGTGAAAAAAAAAATTAGTCATAGACAGCTGCTGGTCAACTCAAAAAAGTTATACATATATTCCAACATTGAGCCAAAAAAAGTTCAAAAATATCAAACCAAATATAAACCTTTTAATAAAGTTTGCTTATTTTAAAAAATGAAACTTTTTCAAAATATATATAAAAGAAGAACTGTTACACCACTGTCCCAGGTTAGGGGAAGGGTTGAGCGATTTAAAAGTTTTATAATTTAAAGGATTTCTAACTTCTGGTAACACTGACAAGTGAAAAGATTTTTTTATTACAATAAAAATGTTCCCATCATAAATTTAGATAATATCAGCTCACATGAACTAAAAAGCACAAAAAAAACCTACACATCAACAACTCAAAGTGACTCATGTTGACCCTCTACCTTACTCACTTTTTCTTGACCCCCCCCCCCCCCCCCCCCCCCCCCCCCCCCCCCCCCCCGATTAAGAGATGGGAAGTAGATAAAGCACCCAGACTAAGATGGTTATGCCCAGGATACTGATGGTGTGAGTAAGGTAACATCTCACACTATCAGTCTAATGCCTACCATAAGTAGGATCCTAAACAATCTTCTAGTCAATGTTTGAGGACAGCAGACCCTAAACCTTCTGCTTCATCCAAGGACAAAAAAGCCAAAGTGGTGAAGGGGAAGATTAATTTATTGGTGTTTAATGCCACTTTCAGCAATATTGGCTATTTCATGGAAGTCAGTTTTTATTGGTGGAAGAAACATGAGTGCCAGTGGAGAGAGCCCCCGACCTTCAGTTGGAAAACTGACCATCCTAGTCAATTAAGATTGGAGTCGAAGGCATCTGCCACATGCAGGATTCGAACTCACAATCTTAGTGTTGACAGGCTAGTGATTACAGTAGTTGGACTACTTAGACCACTCAGCCACTGAGGCCCCATCTTGAGAAGTAAAGCACTGCAGATTATTATGTCCAGGATACTGATGGTGTAAGGACTGATACCATCTCACACTATCAGTCTAACACCTTCTATAAGAAGTATCCTGGTCATCCTCTAGTCAAGAAAACAGCTTACCCCAAATCTTCTGCTTCATCAAATGGCAAAAAAGCCCAAGTTGTGAAGGGGAAGAAGCTGATTAAGCAATTGTCCTGCCCTCCAAAAGTACTGTCTCTAAGAGGAAGTGAAGCCTTTTGAAGACTCCCTTTCCTCAAATTCCAGTAGGATATTCGGAAAGTAATATTTTTCCATCTAGTTCTCAGGGGAATTATGTTGATGAATCAAATTTATGATGGTAAGTTATCATTGTAATAAAAACTTAATCTTTAGTGCCAAAATCTGGTTTTGTAAAATAACTTACCATCATAAACCCCCCCCCCCCCCCCCCTTTTGCTAATGTTATGATTTTTTAAAAAGTGATGTATAAACGTAGAGGGTGGACTTGACCCACTTTTGTCTGTGTGTAGGGGAAGTTTTGTTAGGTACTGTATTTTAAGGTTCATGCAAGCTTGGTGTGAATATTTCATTTTTTATGGTAACATACTTATTGTAATAAAAACATCTTTTAAATACTAGTAGTCAAGTGTTATCTAAACCCTGACAACTATATGAAAAAAGATTACGGAAGTCACTCCAATAAATATTTAATTCTGATGTACAAAAATAAAATGCATGACCAAAATCAACTCATCTTATAAACAAAGATTTTTAACAAGAGTGCACACGCTGAAATGTCTCGTCTTCTTTGCTAATCATTGATATTATGTTGATAGTCCTAAATATAAAGCTTTATTACAACTGTCACATAAACTTAACATTAACCAAGTAAACTAAACATCGACCAATGAACCATGAAAATGAGGTCAAGGTCAGATGAACCATGCTAGGCAGGCATGTACAGCTAACAATTCTTCCATACAACAAATATAGTTGACCTATTGCTTATAGTTTAAGAAAAACAGACGAAAACACAAAAACTTAACACTGAGCAATGAACCTTGAAAATGAGGTCAAGGTCAAATAAAACCTGCGTGACTGACATATAGATCATAAAATATTTCCATACACCAAATATAGTTGAACTATTGCATATAGTATTAGAAAAAAAGACAAAAACTCAAAAACTTAACTTTGACCACTGAACCATGAAAATGAGGTCAAGGTAAGATGACACCTGCCAGCTAGACATGTACACCTTACAATCATTCCATACACCAAATATAGCTGACCTATTGCATGCAGTATTAGAAAAAAAGACCAAAACTCAAAAACTTAACTTTGACCACTGAACCATGAAAATGAGGTCAAGGTCAGATGACACCTGCCAGCTAGACATGTACACCTTACAATCATTCCATACACCAAATATAGTAGACCTATTGCATACAGTATAAGAAAAACAGACCAAAACACAAAAACTTAACTATAACCACTGAACCATGAAAATGAGGTCAAGGTCAGATGACACCTGCCAGTTGGACATGTACACCTTACAGTCCTTCCATACACCGAATATACTAGACCTATTGCTTATAGTATCTGAGATATGGACTTGACCACGAAAACTCAACCTTGTTCACTGATCCATGAAATGAGGTTGAGGTCAAGTGAAAACTGTCTGACGGGCATGAGGACCTTGCAAGGTACGCACATACCAAATATAGTTATCCTATTACTTATAATAAGAGAGAATTTAACATTACAAAAAATCTGAACTTTTTTTTCAAGTAGTCACTGAACCATGAAAATGAGGTCAAGGACATTGGACATGTGACTGACGGAAACTTCGTAACATGAGGCATCCATATACAAAGTATGAAGCATCCAGGTCTTCCATCTTCTAAAATATAAAGCTTTTAAGAAGTTAGCTAACGCCGCCGCCGGATCGCTATCCCTATGTCGAGCTTTCTGCGACAAAAGTCGCAGGCTCGACAAAAATGGATCAGTCAGTTTTAGCATTTGATCTTGTGATTGTTGAACAAAAGCTCATTCTTTAATTGTTCCTAATACCAACAGTCATAATTTTTATGACAAGATTATGAACATGGTTGATGATTTTGGTAAAAGTTCCTTGTGGTGATTATAATTTAGTATTGTGCAAACAATAATCCAATTGCCAGAGATATTTATGTCTTAGCAGGGATGATTCCAGGTGTTTTCAAATGGGGACTTTGACCATCAAATTGGGAATTTTCATCCCAATTGGCAATTTCTTATGCATAAAATCTTAGATGTGACAACATTATTTTCCTGTAAAAACATAATTATTTTTTTCTTATGGATAGGCAGACTTAATTTTTCCGATTTCATTTTGGAAATTTCATCCATTTTTTTTTTATTCCCCAGTGTGGTTCAGGTGAGGTGGAGGATGAAATACACTTTTTCTTTCATTGCACCAAATTTAACAAGGAAATTCATAATTGCGTAAAACTAATCTCTCATGTAGTCATGTAAAATGATTATATCTAGTTCTCCCGAGAACTTATTTTGGTTAATGACCAGTGTGACGACATATCAGTAATTTGCTACTTTTTTTAGGTTAAATTCATAATTTCATAACTACAGCTTGCTTGACTTGTTTAGACAAAGAGAGAATTACGATTCTCAAGCAGCATTCCTGATTCGTCTTCCAGCAAAGCAATCAATTGACCAAAGATTTCGCCTACCTTGGGTCGCAATGCCGCAAACCTCCCTACTGCCGAGAAATTATCATTTAAAATCATTTTATATTGTTTTATTATTATTATAGCATTATTATACATTGTATTCTTGTATTGTACTTTTTTTATATGTTGAATTATGAGTGTATCCTGGATGTCATTCCCTCTGAGCAAGGAGTTGTATAGTAACTTACTTTACAAATCCTTGACCTGAGGGACCTTAAATGGAATAAACACATAATATGACTTGAGAAACGGACCTAACATGAAAACTTAAATCCCAGGTTTTGGGTGGGGTTTTAGTTGCAAGTCATTAGTTTTTCTATGTATATTAGATTGTATTTTCATTGTTTTTTGTTTTCTGTCATGGTTTTGTGCATCTCTCCTCCACTTTATATGAGTTTTGATTGTCCCTTTGATATCTTCCTCCTCCTTTTTTTAACAAGCGGCTCATGAGAGCCTGATATTGCTCACCTGGCTATAATTTCAGTTTCAGGCATTTGAATTATTTGTAGATCTTACTTTGCTGAACAATTTTGTCATTTACACTTTCTCTCTTTCTATAAAAATATTAAAGATAATACATAACCCAAAACTGTAAAATTTCCTAAAAATTAACTATTTCTGGACAGTAACCCAACAATAAGTTGTCCTATTGGTCTGAAGATTACTTGACAGATAGATCTAAACCTGTTTAACACTTTCACCTATTTCAGTTTTGCTCTTACTGCTTTAGTTTTTGAGATAAAAGGCAAAAACTTCATTTGACCCCTATGTTCTATTTTTAGAAACTGCCACCATGTTTTTGAATGGATCAAATCCTTGAACAGTGTTCCCGCCTGCCCTAAATAGAAGGGCGGCCCGCCCTTGGTGCCCTTATCCCCGCCCTTCTGCCCTCCAAAGTAAAAGAATGCACCCCTCTGCCTTTTCAAAAAAATAAAATTTCCAAATTCATGCCTACCGTCGTTTCCGGTAAAATTGTTACCTGATTGTGTAACACTAATTAACTGACAATGGGATTAAGTTAAATACCTAATGCTTTGGCAGTTTTATCACCTTTGTTAACGATTGTTTACTGCTAATTAGTGGATTTAAGATAATTGAATAAATACTAGATATTTAATACAGAATGAAATGTCCACATGTTATCCATTTGTAATGTTTATGTACAGCATGTACATCTGAAAAGATTTATTTCAGTAGGCATAACATAAAAAATAAAATCTTAAACAATTTTAAAGGCAT